CGACGACGACGAGGTCGTAGTCCGAGCCGGTGCTAAAGGCCGCCGCGAACTTGGGGCGCAGGAACTTGCGGGCGCTGGAACGAACGGCGAGCATGCTCTCGTAAATGAACCAAATTACAAAGTGAATTCCCGAGGATTTTTTTCCCCGCAAACGCGAGCTTTTGCATGTTTTTGATGCCATCACGGCAGTGTTTTTTTGTGCTGTGCACGCAGCTCGATACAAACGCCAAGGTCAACGTGGATTTTGTGCCTTTTTATGATGGGATGCGTGGAGCGAAAACCACAATATTATTATGCAAACGGGCACGTCCCTCGCTTTAGCGGCGCCGTCACCGCCTGCCCGTTGCTGACCCCTCCTTGCGAGCTGTCTCAGGCCCCCACGCATTTCATCTCTTTTCACACATGTCTATACCGTTTCCAAGTGTACATTAACTTTATATTTTAAAATACACGGGGCACGACCACCCTCGGTAAAGTACGGTGGCTGCTTCGCACTTTCGCGGGACCTCCGATTCCCCTCCAATTATTGGCCCCGCTGCCCGTGATTGGTCCGCATGTGTTTCCAACAGTGTTTAAAACGATATGAGCGACATCACCACGGTTCGCTGGGCAGCGAGATGACATGGCGGGACGGTCATGATGGGATCCGAGCGGCCAACGCTGCGCAAAGCAGTCCCCTGGCATGAGCAGCCGCATTGGAGACAGCTATCAGGAAGTAGGTGCAACGCGCACGTCAACAAGTGCACATTCGTCGACAAGGGTGGAAGTAGCCACAGCGCCACCGTCGCCGCGTCACTCGCCGCCGCCGTGCGCCACCATGGGTATGTCAGTCATGTACTGTACAAAGTTCAAGAAAGGGTGGGCTCACAAGATTCGAGTGTTTCGAGTGTTGATGGCACAAAGCCACGCTGCGTCGCATGGCCTGGAGCTCTCTAGGACACAGAGAGCAATGACGTTTGGGCGTTTAGTGCAGCATGCATCGCCGTCGATAGTAGCTGTTGTTGCGATGCTACGCCATGACGTCACGCGTGTCGGCCTCCCAGTCCTCCAGCGAACGGTTCCGAAAGTGCGGGTACTCTGTTTTAAACAGTCGCACCTGGTGTAGCAAACCGGTTTTAAACAGCACCAATAGATTGGTTCCGTTGGCGAGTTGAACACATCACACAGGAGAGCCATGTCGAGCGACGAGAGCGACTACAGCAGCAGCGACGACGAGACCGAGAAGGCCTTCTTCAAGCCCAAGCCCAAGCAGGTCAAGGAGGCCGTGCTAGCGGCCTCGGACTCGGAGGGCAGCGACTCGGACGACGACGACGATGACAACGCCGCCGCCGTCCCGGACGCCGAGAGGTACCACCTAAATCGCAACCATCGTGGCTCACGCCGCCGTAGCGCTGCGCAGGACGATCATACAAGCGATATCAAGCAAGCTGCGAAAGAGAAGACCAAGGCCACGGTGTACGTCGAGGGCATCTCGTACGACGCCGACGAGAGCTCGCTCGTGTCGCACTTTTCGGCTTGCGGCGCCGTCAAGGAAGTGCGCATGCCCCGGTACGCGTCCCGCTTCTCCGCACGGAGCGCTGATGCATATGCCATAGGTATCAGGACTCGGGCAAGCCGCGCGGGTATGCACACATCGTGTTTGACTCGGACAAGGCCGCCAAGAAGGCGCTGGCCATGGACGGCCAGTACATGATGAAGCGGTAAAGCTCGCATGTCAGCGCTGCCGAGGACTCATGCAGCGCATCTGTAGCTATTTAAGCGTCCGCCCCGCCGAGACGCCTCGCACCCTCGAAGCGGTGCTGACCAAGTCCAAGTCGACCAAGGCCATCAAGGGCTGCCGAACGGTCTTTGTCAAGCAGCTGCCGTACGAGATCACGGACGCCGAAGTCAAGGAAGCCTTCGAGTACTACATGCGTCTTGCATTCTCAAAACTCAAAAACCCATGTCTTCTCAATAGATCCTGCGGCACGATCATCAGCGTGCGCCTCCCCGTGTGGAACCACACGAAAAATTCCAAGGGGTTTGGGTACGTTGAGTTTGAGACCGAAGCCGAAGCCGTCGCCGCCACGAAGAAGAGTGGCATGAAGGTGCAGTCTTTTGCCGCCATGTGATCGCTGGCAGCTGACGCGCGAGTGTTGTACAGATTGGCAACCGTATGGTGCTCGTCGAGTTGGACACGGGTGCGCCCAAGGCCAG